AATATGATTCCATGGTAGCAACCTTAATGTCAAGGAGTAATGAAGTATCTCTACAGAAAGCTCAATTCCTACTGCATAAACATGAGATGAGGTTGGAAAAACAACATGCAGCTTATATGGGCTTTCATGAAGCTGCTGCATTCTTAGCAACTAAACAATCTTTTTCTTCAGCTCAAAACATGCCATTGCAAAATAGTTTAGAACAGCTAACACAACATCTCACTCAATCTCTACCTCCAAACCAAAATGAACACAGAAGTTCCTATCAAATTGGTCAAAATTTCCAGAATTATAATCTAAGTTTGGCAGAGGCAGAGGCAAAGGCAAGAATTTCTATAAGCCAAGATTATTTTGTCAATTGTGTGGGAAAAGTGGTCACATGGCCCTTCAATGTTACCATCGGTTTGACACTAACTTTCAAGGGAATCAAAATCATAAATCTCACTTTGGAATGGACTATAATATGACACAACAATCTACACAAATGACAACTCCTGCTCAAGCCTATTTTGTAAGCACATAGCAGCCATACTTTAGCCATGGTCCAAATCAGTTTCCTTCTATCTCCTCACCCATAAGTCACAATCCAGTACAACTTCAAAACTTAGCACCAACAAATCAGTCTCAGTACACCTATTCAACCTTTCATGCAGATCGAACACAGTCATCTTATGAACCTTTAGGAGAAACGCAGATGAAAAACCACTCAGTTGGAAAATCAATAGCTTCAATAGCCACTCCATTCACTGTAGCAGATCCCACTTGATATATTGATTCAGGAGCGACTCACCATATCACTCCAAATTTATAGAATCTTTCCTTCAAAAATGAATACAATGGTTCAGAGTCTCTTCAAGTGGGCAATGGTCAATGTCTTGGCATTTCTCACATAGGTTTGACCCTTGTTCCTTCTTGCATAAACAAGTCCTTACAACTTAAAAATATTCTCTGTGTACTTTAAGTAACAAAAAATCTTCTAAGTATTCCAAAGATTGCATGTGACAATAATGTGGTTGTTGAATTTTTTTGCGGATGAATGTGTTGTTAAGGACAAGACATCACAGGTGATTCTACTTAAAGGCTATGTACATAATGGACTCTATCAGCTTGACATTCCAACTGGCTTCCACAATCAACAAGCTGAGTCCTCTACAGTAATATCTCCATAACTACAGGTTCCTCAAGTGTTTCTTAATACATCAGACTCCTCCATCAGTTCAAAGCCTGCTACATTTGTCATTGCAAATTTGAATAACTTGTCTAGTCCTGGTAATTCATGTCCAGTTATTACTATAACAAATAATGAATCTTTACATTCAACTATTGATAAAGTGGGGACGTTATGGCATAGAAGACTTGGTCATCCTCATTCCTTTGTACTTAACACGCTTGTTACAAATTTGAATATAAAAGATCATAGCTTAAACATAATTAGTTTTTGTGAAGCATGTCAGTATGGGAAACGTCATCAAAGTCATTTTCCTTCTTCCAATTCACAAACATATACGTCCTTTGAGCTTCTTATTGTAGATGTTTGGGGACATGCCCCTGTTAGTTCAACTATTGGTTATAGATATTACCTACCCTTGGTTGATGACTACACTCGGTACTCCTGGATCTATCCAATGAAGCTCAAATATGAAGTTAACAATAAAATACAACAGTTTGTACAACTAGTTGCTCAGCAATTTGACAAGAAAATAAAGACCTTTCAATCGGATTGGGGTGGAGAGTTTCGCCCTTTAGCTGTATATTTTGCTCAACAAGGAATACATTTTAGGCATCCATGCCCTCACACACACCAACAAAATGGTAAAATAGAACACAAACATCAGCATGTGATTGAGACGGGATTAACATTGTTGGCCCAAGCTTCCATGCCACTTGAATATTGGTGGTTTGCATTCCACACGGCTGTGTACCTAATTAACAGGTTACCTACAGTGGTTTTACATAATCAAACTCCCTTTCAAAAGCTCCTCCATAAGTCCCCGGACTACCATGCTATTCGGATCTTTGGGTGCTAATGCTTTCCTTTCATTAGACCTTACCAAAAACATAAGTTTGCCTTCCATTCCAAGCAATGTGTTCTCTTGAGGTATAGCTAACATCATAAGGGATATTTGTGTCTTAAAGCTCATGGCAAGGTCTACACTATTCAGAGTGTAAAATTTAATGAGGAAGTCTTCCCTTTTCCTCATAATTTTACTCTTACAATTGCTCCCACCACAACCACAAACTGTCCGCAGCCTTGGAAAATTCCAGTTGATTTTTCTTCTCTAAAATAGCATATGCCAGATTCCTCTCGATTATCACCATCCTCTACTACATCTACTGCTCCTAATTATGTTACCTCCACAACACCTATCATCAACACCTCCCCACACCCTCCCTCCTTTCAACTAAAGGTTGACCTTCGGGGTTATCATACTACAGCACCTTCACCCTCCTTTCCTTCATCTCACCATCCCACTCAAAATGTCCATCCCATGATAACCAGACATAAAGAAAAAGCTCTAATTAGTTCCATCCTTCCAGAAAATCATACAGAACCTTCCTCTGTTGCAAATGCGCTTCAACATCCTCTTTGGCTCAAAGCCATGAAAACCGAGTTTGATGCACTACAAGCCAATCATATGTGGACTTTAGTCCCATATACAGATGAGATGACCTTAGTTGGGAATAAATGGGTCTTTAAGGTCAAGTTAAATGCTGATAAAAGTCTTCAACAGTATAAAGCGCGGTTTGTCACGAAAGGTTTTCATCAGGTTCCTAGCATTGATTATTTTGAGATGTTTTCTCCTGTTATTAAAGCTTCCACTATTCGAGTTATACTCTCCCTTGCTGTCTATAATGAATGGGAAGCGTAACAAGTTGACGTTAACAACGCCTTCCTTAATGGCGACCTCACCAAGTCTGTGTATATGTCTCAACTGGAGGGGTTTGTTGATTCTTGCAAACTATCTTACGTCTGCAAACTTCACAAATCCCTGTATGGGCTAAAGCAAGCACCCCAGGCGTGGTTTGACAAGCTTAAGTTAACCTTGGTTAGTCACGGTTTTACTAATTCTACATCAAACTCCAGCCTGTTCTACTATCATCAAGATACTACAGTTGTCTACGTACTTGTTTATGTAGATAACATCCTATTAACTGGTAATAATGCTTCTCTTATTCAACATGTTGTCACCTGTTTGGATGAAACCTTTGGCCTTAAGATTCTTGGTCCTAACCACTACTTCCTTGGCATTTTCATCATTCATTCACCTTATAGTCTCCAACTAAATTAGCAAAAGTATGCTGAAGAAGTTCTCCAACGTTTTGGTATGCAACATTGCAACCCGTGATCTACCCCCATGGTGCTTGGTTCTAAGTTGCAGTTTGATGATGGACCTCCTTTTGATCAGCCCTCCTTGTATCGCAATCTTATTGGTGCTCTTCAGTATCTTACAATGACTAGACCAGACATATCTTTTGCTGTTAATAAGCTGAGCCAATTCCTAAAAGCTCCAATAACTAATCATTGACAAGCTTGTAAGCATGTTCTTCATTATCTTCAGGGCACTATGAGTCATGGCCTTACCTTTCGAAAGAGTTCTACCTTGCACCTTGAAGGATATAGGGATGTCGATTAGGCAAGTAATTTGTCTGATTGGAAATCTACCAATGGTTATTGTCTCTTTCTTGGGTCCAATTTAATCCAATGGAGTTCCAAAAAAAATAGCAGGTGGTAGCTCTCTCTTCCATTGAAGTTGAGTACCGTGCCTTGGCTCAAGCCTCAATTGAAGTGGCCTGGCTCCAAAATCTTTTTCGTGAGCTTCATATTACCATCCCCAGTGTTCCTGTTCTCTGGAGTGATAACACCAGTGCAGGTGCTCTTGTTGCCAATCCTGTGTTCCATGCACGCATCAAACACAATGAAATTGACATTCACTTTGTTCGCGAAATGGTTCAGTCTAAACGCTTGATGGTTCAATATGTTGCTTCTTAGTTTCAGGTTGCTGACATCTTTACCAAGCTGTTGTCTGGTTCTCGGTCTAAAATTCTTCGTGATGATTTGTGTCTTGTTGTTGCCTCCTCCCCATTTGAGCTTGAGGGACGATCCTTCGCATGTCAAGCCTCAAATTCTGAGGATTCAACAGTAGAAATAAACAATCCCTGAAAAAGAAAATCAATCCAAAAAGAAAATCAGTCCAGTTTTTTTTTACTCAACCTCTCCCTACATTATCATTTTTTTTACTTAAGTTCAACTTGAGGGATGATGTTAACCAAAAGATCAAGCTTCACATAATCAAAAAGATCCAAATAGTAGAAAACACATGCAGGGTCAAATTTGTGCCAACTTCAATTCACACTTTTTATCATCTACTAACGTCATGCAAGTGGGAAAACAACTTGCACTACAAGTTGCATGCAAGTGGGAAAACAACTTGGCCTTATCATCTACTAACGGCATGCATGTGGGAAATACAAGTTACAAAATAGATACAAGTTGGCCTGCAAGTGGAGATGCAAGTTGCAGATCAAACGAACCATATTTCTTATATTTACTTAGTTTGTTAGTGATCAAACGGTGGAGAAGAATAGTCTGCAGTATAAATTTTGTAATAGTTTACTGTTCACGTAATGAAATATGAAAAGAGTTTAGTGCTCTGTTTTTTCTTTCTTCATCCTCTCACATTTTCCTTTACAGTCAATTTTCTCTCTCTACTGTGTTGAAAGTTTTACAGTTATCGTAACATTTTAATATCAAGTGTTATCATAGATAGTCTATAGTAACACTTTAAGGAAAAGTGCTACTGTCCAGTGTTACCGTAGGCTATTTTTGTTATAGTGACTACTACTATCGTCATGTCCAGTGTTACCGTAGGTTATTTTTGTTGTAGTGACTACTACTCTCGTCATCTCCTGTAAGAACCAAACACACATCAAATTAATCTAGTTTTTTAGTGATTTATTTGGCTTTTCAATATGGGGTTTTAATTGGGTGTATCGCAGGTATGGTAGCTGCATATGAAACAGCGAAAAGTGGAATAGGTGTGGCGGTGATGAGGCTAGAACTGGTGATGAAGTTTATTGTGTCAGTGGTCATGGCAGGAGTGTTGGGTATTTATAGTTTGATTATTGCTGTTATTATTTGTACTAGGATTAACCCTAAGGCTAAATCTTATTACCTCTTTGATGGCTATGCCCATCTTTCTTATGGCCTCGCTGGTGTCTCTACGGGTATGGCGATCAGAATCGTTGGTGATGCTGGTGTTAGGTATAATCATTCTTTCCAATCTCAGTCATGTATCTAAAAAATTAAATTGGTAAATTTCTTTAATTTGGATTGCTTATAGTGAAGAATGGTTGATTTTTTGTAGCGCTGTAACTTTGATTGGATACTATATATTGATTAAATATGTGTCGTGTTTCACTTCCTTTGTGAACTCAATGACTTTCTATTTAGAATTATCTCATTGTGATATGAATGCTTTATGCTATGATTAAACATAGCTATTTAAGTAACGTTTGGTGCGGCTTAAAGAACCACCAAAAATGGCCACAAAAGATGAGGTCACTATTTTGATATATCTTCTGTAAAGTTTTGCTTGTTTGGTTCATAAGTTACAATGCTTAAAATGTGAATTTCATTTAGTAAATTATAGAGGCTAGAGGGTGAGCACTTCATGTGATTTTACAAGCTTTGCATTACTGCTCTTCATTTATTGTTTTATTTGTTTTGTTTTTCTTTTCTTTTCGATGTTGTAATAAGGCTTTATGGGAAAATTGTTAATCTTTTTAGAGGTTTAACCAAAGACATGAGTGGGTGAAAGGGGACTTGTAGTTGGCTCTATGTGCAAATGCCTTACATATTTCAATTGAGTTAATGTGCTATTGCTATCTGCTTTCTTTCTAATTTTTCTCCTATGTTTGTCATTGCATTTTGTGTCTGTCATAAGGTTACGAGGAAAACTCATATCGTGTCTGTCTTTTGTTTAAAATCTAAATAGATATGAATTTGCCTGAAATTTGAAACTTCTTAACTTTTGGGAAATGGGGATTGTAGTTGGAAAAGGAGGAAAGTGCAAAAGGATTAGGCTAGGGATGGGTTTTGGGGTAGAAAGCGAAAGAAAAGGGCATCTTGAATGCAAAATGCTCTTTTCTACAAATACAACATTTAGATATTTGTTTTTGACAAAAATTGAAAAAAAAAAAATAGATTGACTTTTTTTTTCAAACGAAATGGTTGTATGAACCATTTACAAAAGGTTTGTTATTACTTGTGCACAAAAAATTATAGCCCCTTAGTAATGGTTCACAGGGTAAGTTAAGATTGGACAAAGGAATATAATGATTCCCATGACTACAGAGGATTGAATATATGTCATCGTTAAGGCAGATATCTTGGTTGCATTTATGCCATCTTCTAGTTCTCATTGAGTTTTTTTGGCATTTAAAATTAATGTCATGAATCTGGTGTTTGCCTATTAGTGCTCTTATTTTTAGTTTGACATGATATGTTGTGTTATTTATTTATTTTTTAATGTTTTTACTGCTGAAAATCCTGATAGTGTATGGATGGAGACTTCGCACCAATGGTTGAACTTGTGAAAGTTCGTGGCTTTTAGTTAGTCTTAGATGATGTATCATTAAACATAATTATTATGCAATTTGCATTCCACTTTTATTCTCTGCACTCAGTCAAACAGTCAAACTGAATATTCATTTTTATTATTAATTTAAATAATTATTAATTAATATTACCGTTTTGTAGGTAAATTAAAACGACGCCACAAAATGCTTGGTTTGGGTAGAAAAGTACTTAATACTTATCCCAGTTTGTTGATACGAAGCACATCTATCTTATTACTCTCTCTCAGCGCATACACACAGTCACACACTTGAGTAACAGGAAGATTGAAAAAGAGCTCAAGGCGAAATGCCTTCACTGGACGAAAAATATGCCATGGAACTCGAGGAAGTCAATCATGAACTACTACTTTATAGTAGACTCTCATCATCACCTGTTGAGATTCCTGAAAAACGTCTTATTGGAACCTTCCAAGAAAGGACGGTGCTGGAATGAGCTTAAGAGTAGAGGGATGCTCAAGTGGGGTAAGAGGAAGAAAATTCAATTCCTGAGAAATGATGAGACAGAGAAATTGTTAAAGAAGCAATAGGATGATGTGACTGTTATAACATACAAATGAAACAGCAGTGATGGTGGTCTCATTTTGGTTGTTGATATTCCAGGTTGGTGGAAATTCTTAAATGGTCAGGAAAGATTGCTATGACATTGAAGATTCATATTTTGTAAAAGAAAATTAGTTGATAACATTTTAAATTACTAGGATAAAAGATTTTATAAGTAAACAATTATTTGGTTGAAAATGACTTTATTCATGTTTTATTTTTTATATTAGATTTTTCTTATGACGTCATACTATCTATTTAATATAAAAATATTGCTATAAATTTGTAATTATTATTAAATTTGTTAATTATAGTAATATTTGTTACAATTAATTTTAAACGAAGCAATAAATTATAAATTCTTGATATAAATTATTTGTTCCATTGCAAATAATTATAATATTTAGCTACAAATTAAAAGTATTCATAACAAGTAATTTCAATGTTTAGCTATTAACACAATATACCCATAACAATATCTTTTCATATATGTATATGACTTTTATATGTCCGTAGCAAATAATCTTTTTATTTAGTTACGAATTTAGTGGTTACATAGCTAAAATGTCAATATATTTGCTATGGATATTATTTTTGTAGCAAAAAATTTCAAGTTTTAGTTACAAATTTATATTTGTGTAGCTAATATGCAAACATAGCTATACAGACTATTCTCCATGGCTATAAAGGCAAAGCTTTTGCTACAAGCTTACTATTATTATGGCAAAAACATTTAAGTTTTTAGTTTCATATTAATCTCATCCATAGCAAAAAATATAAACTGTTAACTACGCAAGCAAAAAGTTACATGACCAACTTTTAGCTGCACGACTTCTAGCTACGACAAGCTACAAAATATTATATTTGTTGCTAAATCATTTATCCATGCAAATTCATATTTTTAGCTGCAATGACCGTCATGACTAGAAATGCATAATGTTGTAATGGATATTTGTTTACGGACTAATAGTGAGGCAGGGGAACAAAGCCTATCTCTACAAATCTAAAGTACAGTACTATTTTTGCATGGGAGAACGACATGTTCCCACCCAAGGTTTAGCGACAAGACAATTTTCCACTTATCAAGTTTCAAAACGTCACTTTTCCATCCACCGTTATTTTTTGTTACGAAAATCCTTTCTCTAACATGATATAAACAATGTAAAGGCCCTCACATAGCAGCCAAGCAGCAGGTATTTTCTTCTATTTTTTTCTGTGGGTTTGGAGATAAAGAAAAGGAAACTGTTTGTGGGTTTAGAGAGAGAACTGAAGGGAAAGATATGAAGTTGTAATTGCTTTAGTGTAGGTACAGCCGTATAGGTCTTATATCAAATGGTGGCTATGGTGATCTTTCTTAGGGCTACAATATATCGAGCCCGAGTAAGCTCGCCAACTGCTTGAGCCGAGTTATTGGAAGCTTGAGCTTAGCTCGACTCAACATGTGAGCTACTCAAGTTCAAACCCGAACAGCTCGCAAGCAGCTTGGCTCGAACTACAGCCGTAGGAAACACATGCTATAAAATAAAAATTGGGAATCAATGATATGATTTTCCTCCCAACTTGTATAATTACTCTCTGAATTCTCAATAATTTCTCTTATTTTGTCTCATTTATTCTCATTTTTTTCAGTAGCCAATCACCAATTAAGAACATAAAAAATATGAAGATTACTGAAAGAATTATTTTTTCTTCATATTTTATAAGATCTGAAGTAGTTATTCGATTTTCAGAACATAAAAGTATATACATTTAACAATTGAATTGACACTATAATACAAATTATCAAAATTATCTCTCTTCCCTCCCTCCTCTTGTCTTCTTTTCTCAATCTATTCTCATGTATAAAATGTTTTTAGTAAATGATACATTTAAACAACTTTTATATATGATAAGTTCAAGTCTAATACCGTTTGTGTAAGTCTTAGTTTTATAACAGATACAAAGTAAAAGACATTGAAAAATCTTAATTGTAGAAATTTATACGAAAATAAATATGAAGTCCCCAATGTTCTTATAATCCAGTAAAAACAATATTTTCACAATGATACAAAGATACCGGATCATGAATTATAATATCAATCTTTATCTTCTTCACTAAAACGTAATATTATAAATTCAGAAATGAAAATGGAATATGTATCAAAGAGGCTACAACACAGTTTTACTTTTACAATGGGAGTTTAAGCGGGTGTTGTGAACTTGTAGGAGGCATAAGAAAGAGTACCGCCTTGCCAACTACTGTGAATGAGTTGTGCCTTTGCAGTTTCGCCGGCGGCACCTATAGCTACATGTAATGGATAAAAATGGTCTGGCCAAGGATGAGCCATTTTTGGATTTGGTGCCTTCTCTTCATAGTGTTTCACATCCTCGTATCTGTAAAGAGTAGAATTAATAATAAAAATCCTTATATATAATGTAAAACAATTAACATGCAATGCCTAAAAATATATATTAGTCTTTCCTCCTTTATTAATTAAGTCAATTATATAAAACGTATATCATAAAAATATTTTACTTTGTATTATGGTTACATTGTATCTCGTGATATTATGATTTTTCTGAAAATATTGAAAGGTGTTTCAGTCAATCCACTTTGTACATTGAACTCATTTCCTCATATAAGAAACCTTCAACTCACATACACAATGTAAATTTAAAGACACAAAAAACACAAAATAATTCTATCATTGCAAACCAAACAAATACATTTAAACAATTCTAGACTGAGATATATCATATAAAAAAATATATAAAATCTTTTTTTTTCTTTCTGGCGAGAGAAAAATTATTTAAGAAGAAAGAATAAGGCCCTTCTATATAAAACCTTATGAATGAACAACACCGAAGTGGATTAGATTATCAGATGTATATATAAATCCATCTAATCATACTTTGATAATTGAAAGCAAGAAATTGTCGAATGGTACTAACCCATGTTGAATTAAAATCCATGAAATAACAAACTTGTAGGCCGGTTTCATATGTTCTTGTCCAGTTGATGCAAAATCAAATAGACTTTAAAATATTATAACTGAATTAAGAAAGGGCTCAAGCACTTAACAATTACCTTCCTTCAAGGAGAGTATCTTTAAGCCAGGTATCAAATTCCTGAGCCCATGAAGGAACAATATTGCTACTAGATCTTATAGCCCTCAGGTTATGCACAGCACTTCCGGAACCAATAATGAGGACACCTTCCTCTCTGAGAGGGGCCAATGCCTTCCCCATATTGTAATGATAAGTTCCGTCTTTATTTGTTTGAACTGAGAGTTGGCACACTGGTATATCGGCCTCTGGATACATTAGCATCATTGGAATCCACGCTCCATGGTCAAGCCCACGTTTTGTATCTTCTTTAACATCTTGGAAGCCTGAAGCTGTCAGCAGTTCCTTCACTCTCTTTGCCAATTCTGGAGCCCCTGGTGCCGGATACTTGAGCTGCAGATAATAGCTGGATTTGATGAGATAATTGAAACATGAGAGAAGTTAAATAATAATTTCTGCTAATTGATTACAGGACCAACATGTTTAAGCCCTGGAAGCAATTTCCTTTCCTTTTCAATGGCATAAAATCCATTTCAAGATGCCCTTTTTATTCGATTTAGCAAATTAATTACAAATAATGAAATCCCTCGGTTCCAGTTTTAAATTATGATAAGTCAAATATATAGGAAATTTAAGAAATATGAAATATTTCAAGCTGAGCCGCCAGAGCCGATGAACCGGGGAAAACAATAACCCAATAAAAAAGACTTCAGAGGCAAAATACTAAAGCAACAACTGAACATAGTCCATCAACCCTTCTAACTTCATATATTCATATTTAATCAACTGCCGTGTAAATGATCTTTCATTTATTATTTTATGTTTATTAACAACAAGAGCGTAGAGGCGTACCTTGTACATTTGGCTTGGGAAGCCATAGAAGTCATAGATGATGTCGTTCTTTTGAACAACATTGACAGTGGGAACATCGGTCTCCCAGTGGCCAGATATTATGAGAACTGAATTGGGTTTCTTCGTTAACCCTTGCTCTTGCCAAGTCTTCAAGAAATGTCTGGCGGGCAGCGACTCATCAATGGCCAACGTCGGAGCTCCATGTGATATGTAGAACGTGTCCATCACACAACTATCGGTTTATATGATCTATCTGTATGTATTTGATTATTAATACAACAAAAACGAAGAGAAGAGTTATATATAATATATGATCAAGCTTCCGTTGTTCAACTTTCTTTTGTATTTGATTATTCTATTGTATCGTCATAGATTTAATTTTTTGTTCAGATAATCTCATGCTTTCACGATAAGGACAGCAATGTTTTAAAACCCGGTGTCAGCAGTGACCCGGGTCTCGGGCCTAGCGATAGAACCGGTCCGACCCGCCCACTTTCAAGATAATCCTCTTCTTTGTTTTAGCCTCCACCCTCCATCTCCCTCTTAACCCAACCCAATCCAATCCAATTAAAGTTAAAAAAAAAGTACAAAACTTTCATTTCCTGAAATTAGTCTTCACAGTTTTTCATAACTTTTAACTCTAAAAACAACTTTAGCAATCAGTATTCAACGGACTCTAAATTTCGTAAAGCAAAATTGAAAAACGAAAGAAGATTTAATACCTTTATTGTCGAGGGTGAACTGGTAGCGAAACGAACAAAATCAGGACCGTTAGCAGACAAAAGAGCTGATCTAGCAAAAGAACTGCAGTTTCGCCGTTGAATTAATGCGTATGATGCGTACCTACTCTTTTAATTGAGTTTATACATAGAATAAACTAACTATTTAAGAGACATAAATCTCAAGGTTCGAAAGCGTATAGGATTATTAATTAATATATATTTTCAACCCTTTAACATTAGTTTAGGATGTGGTTTTTCACTGATTTGAAATGTAAGGTAAATTAATTATTATTTTATGAATTCGATTTTTTGTTTTTGGTAAATATCTTGAAAATGATTTATTTAAATGATTTCTAAAAACAGTATTTTGACAACAAAAAAGAAAAGCCTATTCTACATGTTTATATGGAAAGGTTTTTTTGAATCATTTTCTACTTTAATTTTAATAATTAAGCAATTATTAATATTCATTATTCTTTTTATTGATACTTAATTCAAATCCGTGGATTTTCCATATGAGTTTTTTGATGTTTTGTAGTAATTATTTATAATTAATTTCAATTTTATTTATTAAAGTTACTAAAAGTTTTAATAAGTTAGAATGGTATTTATATATGAAATCATTTAAAAAAGAAAAAAGAAACTGGTTGAGACACATTTTTATTGACTTTTTAAAATATTCTTTCTAGAATAACACATTCTGGAAAATATAAAATATTCTAGCTAAGGTGAAGTTTGGACTTTATATAGTAGGTGTTTGTGGGGTGGGGCTATTTGTTTTAATATATATATATATATAAAGGTCGTGGGTGGGGCTATTTGTTTTAATTTTTAAATAATAGTTAAACAAATATTATGAAACAAATCATTTACCACCGACAACAACCACTTAATGTTTGACCGAATAAACTTGATTGGGTTTTTTTTTTTTTTTTTTTTCCATGCGGAACATGAGAGAAATTAATAGAAAGTTATACTAATTGACATGTCTTTCTGAAGATGACTTGATTTATGTAGCTTTGATAATTTACACTTTGCATTAGTTAATTGATCACATTTATATGAGTTTTAGTTTAAAGGGAGAGTGTTATTTTTCTAAGTTGCGAATAATGCTTTTGTAATTTAATTTGTTGGTTATTATTGGTTTGATGTAAGAAGTTAATGTCTAACTCCTGAGAAATTTTATTTTGTCTTTAGCTTTGTTTTCATTTGTTTTTGAGTCATATGTGATGATTGTGGATAGCATTGTTGTAAACTCTCACGAGACTATAACTCGTCCACTAAAGGACCTTAAAGGGTTTAAAGCCCAAGGAGCAGAATAAGAGAGGAATAAAATGAAAAGAGCAAAATAATATTTGCCTTATAATTGCAAGTCCAAAACGCAAAGGAATTGAAAAAGCTTAACTTGCATTTAATAACATATGACCCATTTTTTATTATAATAGTAAGAGTCATTGGCATTGGCTCCATTGGTAACAAGTCTTTTACTATAAATGATGTATTACTTATGCATGGATTGAAGCATAATTTATTAAACATTATTCAATTGTGTGACAAAGGTTTTAAAACTGTTTTTCAATCCATGCGTTGCGAGGTTGTTGAGTCTAGCACCAATAACATTGCATTTATAGGTTATAGGCATTCATATGTGTATACTATTGACCTAGGTGACATTGCATTTAAGGACCTCTGTCTTTTGTCTACAAAAGAAGAGGATAGTTGGTTGTGGCATAGAAGGTTAGGACATGCTAGCATGGATGTCATTATAAAACTTTCTAAAAGGAATTTGGTAAATGGTTTGCCCAAACTTGTTTTAAAAAATGATCATATTTGTGATGCATGTGTAAAGGGCAAATAACCTTGTGTGTGTTTTAAGCCAAAAAATATTGTTTCAATCTCTAAACCTTTACAATTGTTACATATGGATTTGTGTGGTCCCGCAAGAACAACAAGTTTATAAGGTAAACACTATTGTTTTGTGATTATTGATGATTTCTCAAGATTCACATGGGTGTTTTTTCTTGTACACAAAAATGATGCATTCAAATCATTTTTGCACTTGATTAGAAAATTACAAAATCAAGTAGGTTATGCAATTGCATGTATTAGAAGTGATCATGGCAAAGAATTTGAAAGCACGGATTTTGAATTTTATTGTAATGATCCTGGCATAAAACACAACTTTTCTACCCCTATAAAACAAAAAAAAAAAAAAATAATAAAAGAAAAGATAGAGCCTTAGTTGAAATGGCTAGGACCGTGTTGTGTGAACATGACCTACTTAGATGTTTTTGGTTGAGGCTGTCAACACTTCATGTCATATCATAAATAGGGATATGATTAGGCCAATCCTTAAGAAAACTCCTTCAAAGTTATCCAAAAGGAGAAAGCCAAATATTGCATATTTTCATTCATTTGCTTGTAAATGTTTTGTTCTTAATAATGGTAAGGACAAACTTGAAAAATTCGATGCTAAATTAGATGAAGCAATTTTCCTTGGTTATTCTTCACATTCAAAAGCATATAGAGTTTTTAACAAAAGAACACTCTTAATTGAAGTATCTATACATGTGTTAATTGATAAATCTTCTTTTGAGGATATGGGAAATAATAATTTGGAAGAGATTGATGAGTTGATGAAGGACTTAGAGATAAATGATGAAGCATCACCATCTACCATGCTTAAAGAAGAAGAACATCAAGATGAGGTAATGCTGAAAATGATACACTTATGGAATCTCAAGAACAAGCAAGGGAGCCTTCATTTGTAAGAGTAAAAGGTGAAGTGAAGGATGCAGAAATCATTAGTGATCCTGCACAAGGAGTAAGAACAAGAGCTTATACAAGGAACACATCAATCCGTAGCATTCTTGTCTCAAGTGGAACCCAAGCAAGTGGATGAAGTACTAAGTGATGAGAGTTGGGTTCTCGCAATGCAAAAGAAACTTAATCAATTTGAGAGGAGCAACGTTTGGGAACTTATGGCAAGAACAAGAGATCATCCATTCATTGGCACCAAATTAATGGGTATTCAAAAAAAAAATGGATGAACAAGGTATTGTGGTAAGAAACAAAGCTAGGTTAGTTGCCCAAGGTTACTCCCAAGAGGAAGGGATTGACTTTGATGAGACCTATGCCCACGTAGCTAGATTAGAGGCTATTAGGATGTTACTTGCTAATACATGTCATTTGGATTTCAAACTTTTTCAAATGAATATTAAAAGTGCATTTTTAGATAGTCTTATACAAGAAGAGGTGTATGTCAAACAATCACCCAGTTTTGAAAACCCTGAATTTCCTGAACATGTTTTTAAACTCTCAAAAGCACTTTATGGTTTAAAACAAGTTCCTAGAGCTTGGTATGAAAGGTTGAGTAGTTTTCTTTTTCAAAATGGTTTTACAAAAGGAAAAGTGGATGCAACCTTATTTACAAAAAGGCATGAGCAAAACATTTTAGTAGTTCAAACATATGTTGATGGCATCATCTTTGGTGCCACTAATGAAAATTTTTGCTAAGAATTTTCTAAGATAATGCAAGGGAAGTTCGAGATGAGCATGCTGGATGAATTAAACTACTTTCTCGGACTGCAAATCAAGCAATTAAAGGATGAGATCTTGTTAAATCAATCCAAGTACATCAATGATCTCCTCAAGCAATTCAAGATGTATAAGGCAAAGGATCAATCTACTTCTATGAGCACTTCACTCAAATTAGATGTTGATGAGGGAGGTAAATATGTTAATACACAGCTTTATAGAAGCATGATAGGGGCATTATTGTATTTGACAACATCTAGGTCTTAGATATTGTTTAGTGTATGTATATATGCACGTTTCCAATCAAGTCTTAAAAAGTCTCATTTGAATGCTGTAAAAAGAATTTTGAGATACTTGAAAGGAACTCAAAACATAGGCTTTTGGTATCCTAGAGGTTCATCCTTTAGTCTTATAGGATATTTAGATACCAATTTTGGAGGTTGTAGAATAGACAAAAAAAGCACTAGCGATACATGTCAATTCTTAGAAAACATGCTAGTGTCATGGGTTTCAAAAAAACAAAATTTAGTTGCAACTCCTACTGCAAAAGATGAATATGTTTCAGCAGCAAGTTGTTGTGCACAATTTATGTGGATGAGAGAACAACTTGAAGATTTTGGTTTTAAAATGCATAGCATACCCATTCATTGTGATAACACAAGTGCTATTAATTTCCCAAAATGTGTAGGATTTATTTAAAAAAAAAATCTAGTCGTAAAATCTAGTGACTTACCAATTATACCCTTAATATAATAAAAAATGATATATTCCTAATATATATCGTTAGACTATGCTAGATTATACAAGACTCAATAGCCTAGCCTTTAACAATACCATTTGATAGTCTAATTAAATCATGCTAGATGGTGGTAGACTAGGTAGTTTAGCGCATTCCGACTATTTTTGTCCTTGTTATTTTCATGAATGGCAATTAGGTTAAGTCAAATGATTTTACGGCTAATTTGTCCTTTAAACAAAACCTTGACATTTTGGGAATTAAAATTAATAAGGATAGCTATATATGAGAATATCTTTTTAAATAACAAGTTTAGTATTGTTTGTCCATGTATGTGTTTTTTAAAAGATAAAAAGA